CGTGCAACAGCAGCCGGAGTAGGAGGGGGAGGCGTGGGAATCAGGGCCAGCATCAAGGCAACCTGAGAGCTCGGGGGGGGGGGGGGGAATGGAACTGTCAGAGAGAGAGAGAGAGAAAGAGAGAGAGGGAGGGAGGGGGGGATGGAGCTGTCAGAGAGAGACAGAGCCTGGGCCCTCCCTCAACCTTCAGATGGAGACTCAACAGCCCCCAGGTCTGGAGGTGGCTGAGGAGGAAGAGCTGGGCCCAGTGCCTGACACGCAAATGTGCAGAAGGCAGAGGAGAGCAGTGGAAATCTATGGGCCGGTCCTTGGGAAGGAAGAGCCACCACTGCTGCTAGTTCTGGGGACAAAAGGCTGGAGATGGAGATGAACAGATGTGGCAGGCAACTATTCATCTCCCTGCCGGAGGGACTTGTTAGCCTGCGGTGAGAGAGAAACGTTTTGCCAGGGCTGCCGGCACTCCTAAGAAAGGGATATTTTGAGTTCACTTCAGAGGGTTTTTGTAGTGTTTGGGGAGCTGAGTCAGAAGCAGCTGATCTTCCCAGTCCTGATGGGCAAAAATGAATCCCTTCCTCCCCCCTTAGATTAAGAATCAAGCACGGCAATGACTGGGCGACGATCGGAGCGGCTCTCGGACGGAGCGCCTCCTCCGTAAAAGACCGATGCCGGCTGATGAAGGACACCTGTAACACAGGTACGGCGGTCATGAAAACCCCTGCCAGGGAAACTCTGGTTACGCCGGCTTTGCAAGGCGGCTCCAGGAGACACAGAGGGTTGACGCTGTAAGGTTGCCAACTCTTCTTCCAGCTCTGGCCCCAGCCTGATCAACTGATGGCGAGGGATTATGGGAGCTGTAGTCCCAAAGGTGTCTTTTTTTTTTTTCAACTGGACTTTCTGGTTTTTCTGTAAAGCCTCTTCTCATCCAAGGAGCTTCTTCAGCTCTGACTGGGTGGTTGGGGAGGGACGGCTGAGAGTCTCCACCGGGGGATTGTGGTTCAAAGTACAGATGTGGCTATGTTGATTCATTCAGTGACCCCCTCAGTGTTTAGTTTAGTTTAGTTTTATTGATTTTGTATGCCGCCCACTCCCGAAGGACTCCGGGCGGCTTACAATAAAACAAGGGAGGGGGATAACACACAAAACAACATATTAAAATATACAACAGTCACAATTTCCGAGGGGCTGGATATTTCGAGAGCCCCCCGGCCTGCTGTGTTACAGCGACACTAAATAAGGGATACCATTTTTATCTATCTATCATTTCTGTTGGTGCTTTTCCAGTCTCAGGTCCTGGTCATTGCCTTCCATTGAAGTCCTGATCAACAGGCTACAAGGTTTTTTTTGAAAAATGGGGGATATGGGAGATTCTCTCCTCTCCCATCCCCCCCACCACCCATAATGAGCATAACATAAAATAAGGACAAAGAAAAATGAGGATTTGGGGCTCAGCTCTGGTGTGGGGGGTATTTTTCTCCTCCATGCCCTGCATTATCATTTTTCTCACCGCTCCAGGTTGACTCAGCCTTCCGTCCTTCCGAGGTGGGTAAAATGAGGACCCAGATTGTTGGGGGCAAGAGGCCGACTCTGTGAACCGCTTAGAGAGGGCTGTGAAGCGGTATATAAATCTAAGTGATATTGCTATCTATATATCCTATCTATCTACCACTCTCCATGGTGCTTCACTGGTTGGAAATCAGCATTGCAGGCAGACTCTGCCCGCTGCCAGGAGTTCGATCCTGACCAGCTCAAGGTTGACTCAGCCCTCCATCCTTCCGAGGTCCATAAAATGAGGACCCAGATTGTTGGGGACAAGAGACGGACTCTGTAAACCGCTTAGAGCAGTGGTTCCCAAACTTGGCAACTTTAAGACTTGTGGACTTCAACTCCCAGAATTCTCCAGCCAGCAGAGCTCTGCTGGCTGGAGAATTCTGGGAGTTGAAGTCCACAAGTCTTAAAGTTGCCAAGTTTGGGAACCACTGGCTTAGAGCGGGCTGTGAAGTGGTATATGAGTCTTAAGTGCGACTGCTATTGCTTTCATTGCGGTTGTTTCCAATTCAGGGAAATGGACGGAGAAAGAGGAGAGGAGGCTGGCTGAAGTGGTCCACGAAATGACCAGCACGGAGCCCGGGGACATCGTCACGCAAGGAGTCTCCTGGGCCGCTGTGGCCGAGCGGGTGGGAACCCGGTCGGAGAAGCAGTGCCGCTCCAAATGGCTCAACTACCTCAACTGGAAGCAGAGCGGAGGGACCGAGTGGACCAAGGAAGACGAAATCAACCTCATCCTCAGGTTTGCACCGCTGGGCTTGGGAAGGGCTGGCCTCTTCTGACCCAGCAGCACGAAGCCCCCTCCCCATAAACCCCTTTTATTTCATTGACAGTGAATACCAGCAAAGCTTTTCCTCTCCCACAGTCTTTCAAGATCGTTCCCAATTACCGGCCTTTCTCAGGCTCTGGAGAGTGGCCAGGCCAATATCGTTCAGTCGCCGCAATACTCGGCAAGAATGCAGGAATGACCTCATTGTCTCCTGCAAACTCCACTCCCCTTTTCCCCCCTCTTTTACGTCCTCTGGGAGGGGCCGTTCCTCGTCCACCTGTGGCCTTACTCCCAAGTCGACTCGTTCTTTAGCTGTTCCCAGCTGAAGCCACCTTCATTGGCTTCGGAGGAAAATGGGGAAGGGCAGGGCCTTTCAGGATTGGGAGAATTTGTAGACAGGGAGGAGCGGGCAGGATGAACATGAGAGACAGAGCTCTGGCGAGGAGCAAGGACCACCCTCTCCTGATCCAAGAGCACGGAGAGTGGAGAGAAGGCGAGAACGGCGCAGACAGAGAAAACTCGGGCTACTCGGGAGGCTACTTGGGAGAAGAACGCCCCGCCCCTCTTCTCAAGGCACACCTGGGGAGCGAGGCTTAAGGAGACGGTGTGGGGAGGGGCAAACACCGAGTTCCTGAAGTGTTGAGTGCCGGACGTTTGAACTTCCCAAGAGTCCTCGGACTAATTACCTGCATCCTTTGCTTCCTGAACTCCTTGATTTGCTCCTGCTGGATTTATTGCTCCGCAGGCTTGGCGCTCGCAGTGCTGGGTACAGTTGGAGCAACAAAGGGACGGTTTGAACTGCCAGCTCCCTATGTTATCTCTGTGTTGTTCCCAGGGTCATCACAAATAAAAATTAAAATTAAAAAAAAGCATCCCCAAAGGCTCACATTTGTAAAAGGAACCATTTCTTTCTCCTGTCAGAATAGCAGAGCTAGAAGTCGCGGATGAGAATGGCATCAACTGGGATTTGCTGGCGGAAGGATGGAGCAGCGTCCGCTCCCCCCAGTGGCTCCGGAGCAAATGGTGGACCATCAAGAGGCAGATCGCGAACCACAAAGAGGTGTCATTTCCCGGTAAAGTCACCTTAGGCCTAATTCCTGGCTTCCTTTCGGACCGAAGAGTTCAGTTCAGCTCGTATTTTATTGTTTTGTGTGCCTGTTTTACAGGAACCCTCCCACCCTCAGAGTCTGCACCTGGGCCTGCACTAGATCAGGCTCAGTGGCATTCAAATGGGGTTAGATTTTGCCCCTTTTGCGCCTGGGTAAGAATTCAAGACTATGTCCCCGCTTGACGCCTCCTCCTTCTCACTCGGCCAGTATCGGCATCTATCCCTGTTTTTAAATTCTCCCATCAAAATCCGCACGGAGTTGTGTGTCCCACTTGGTTGAGGGATCGGAGCCCAACCTTTCTCTCCTCCCGCAAAAAAAAAAAAAAAGACTCATTTCAAACTCAAAACAACATTTTGGAACTTGAATCAAGATTTGTAAAATTTGGAAAAGTTGCCAGATCCCAGCCTGGGAGAGAAATATCGCGTTTCCCTTTGGTAACTTGAAGAGACTGGAGTTAAAATAACGAACCCTTGGCAATCAACTCCGGCCAGGGGATTCTGGGAGATGAAATCCGCTCGTCTCAAAAGTTGTTGAGGTTTGGAAATGCCGAAATAACTGAGCNAAATGAGGACCCAGATTGTTGTTGGGGGCAATATGCTGACGCTGTAAACCGCTTAGAGAGGGCTGAAAGCCCTATGAAGCGGTATATAAGTCTAATTGCTATTGCTATTGCTAAGATAACTAAATGTAGATAATATATTTAAAAGATTTCATTTATAGTCATCTTAATATGGAACTTCTATAATTGCTTCTATGGTTTATTTTTGCTCTTGCATTGAACAAGAAAGTATGTACATGTGAATTTAAAATTCTCAGTTATGCACTGTACAAAATATTTAAACTGGTCAACTCAAACCTTTCAGAGAATAAACTGATCTTTGTTCTGAAACGTGATGTGCAGGACAATCTTATGCAACTTTGTTCAAAAATTCCATTCTGTCCAATAGAGCTATTTAGAAATGCAATTACACTGTTATTTCATTGATCTAAAAAGAGTAGCATTTTCCTTTTCCAAATGAAAGCGAGTCTGCATGTTACCTTGCCCTTACCAGAATTAATTCTATCACCTTTTAGGAGAAAATGAGTGCAACTATTCTTTCTTGGTCCTCAGAATATTTAATAACCATCACAGAATGGAAAAACAATAAAAACTGTGTAATGTTACTTATCCTAAGAAGACAGCTGGCACTGCCAACTGGTATGATTTTGAAGGAAATAATATGGTTCTAAATGGAAAAAATGGTACAGTTAATCCAGATTCTGTTCTAACTACCTGGAAAAAGTGAAGTGGCTGTAGTTCTGCATAATAAAATAAGCAAAGGCCAACTTACTTATGCAATTATTTTTATAATACCTGAACAGGAAACAGAAATTCAACAGATTTCTTAATCTGCAAATCTGAATGACTGTGTAAACCGACCACTTAACTAAATCAGTGCACTCATTGTCAACAATTATTACTTCTCTTTTACAAGAAATGAGACTTAGTTAGTTTCCTGGCTCTGAAAGAAGTATACACAGGCATGCTAGACAAAACTTGGCCAGCAATTTCTTCCAAGCAGATTCAGCTGGCAGTTATATGACTCTCAAGTTAATGCTTCGTGCCACATTCTTTTATATACAATGGATGCCTGACTCAGATCAGATGTTTCAGGGGCTCTTCTCAGGGAATCAAACCATCAAAACGAGTAATTAAGGAGCAAAGAGGAAAAGTTCGGAAGTAACCTCTGAATACAATGGGGCAATAAAACACAATGGTGCTGATAGCCTGGGAATATGACACACGGGCACAAAATGGAGTCTTCTATTTTGGGAAACAGAGACTAGTCTGAACATGGCTGAGGGCATCCTGGAGCTCATTAATCTGTATGGGAATGACAGAGACAGGATGGAAGGTCTGAGAAGGCTTTCCTCCAGCCTTTTCCTTCCAGAACACTGGCCCTGCAGCCACCACACTTATCTCAACTCAATAAGGCTTTATTACATTTCCTCCCTGGACTTATAATTGCTGTCTTTGTATGGGTGATACTATCATCATCTTCCTTTCCTTTCAAATTTCCATAGCCTTTAAACGAGAGCTACAAAGCCCCTGTCTGTTCTGAACTCCATTATTGTGGAAACCCCCCCCCCCGAGTCAATCAACAATGGGAAAAAAAATAGATTCAATGTATATAAAACACCCACCAAGGTGAAGGAGAGGAGATGAGTTTAGAATCTCAGACCCAGCTCTTTAGGAGTCACTGACTACTGCCTTTGACACTCCTGTAGATGAAAATATACAAGAGATTTGAAGAACAAAATAGTTTTCATGACTGCCCAACAGTGGTGGGTTCCTACCAGTTTGGACCGGTTCGACCGAACTGGTAGTAGTTTGGTGGCCTGGGTCACTGAAACTGGCAGTGATCCAGACCTGCCATGCCCCTGAACCAGTTCTCCGAGCAGCGCCGTATGTGCCGCCATCTTGTTTTTTGCTTCTCCACATGCGCATAACAATTTTTATTGCACTGTGCATGTGAATGCAGTGTGCATCAAGTGCATGTGCAGTGCACCCATGAGCAAACTGGCAGTACTGCCTGCCGGAACCCACCCCTGCTGCCCAAGCACCTTATTAAATAGCAACTCATAATCAGCAAGCTATAGTTAAGATTATAAAAACCATTGAAGCTGCTTAGAGTGATCCAGGCTATCAATCCCATAGAACTTTTCTGATTGCCATTGACTGCCAACAGCTGACTATCATTTTTCCAGAAACATAGCAAAGACTAGCTTGGGGGCTTTTATTTTCCTAATAAAATCTGTACTGATATGCTACGATATCTATTTTAAACGAAGAGCACCATAATAATGAACATCAAATTCCATTTAGCCAAAAATTTTAGTCAAGTGTTTGTCTTTATCCAAAAGGAGAAAAAAATAGCCCAACCTATCAAAAGCAGAACAAGGACACTGGTAAAAATGGGTGAGAAATCTCTCTTATGGTTACTGCTATTGAGCCAAGTTTCATCTGTTCCAAGCGGTGGTGGGTTCCTACCAGTTCAGACTGGTTCAGCCGAACCGGTAGTGGTTTGGCGGCCTGGGTCACTGGAACTGGCAGTGACCCAGGCCTGCAATGCCACCAAACCGGTTCTCCAGGCAGCGTCGTAGTCACCGCCATCTTGTTGTTTGCTTCTGCGCATGCACAGAACAATTTCAATTGCACTGTGCGTGTGTGCACAGCATGCATCAAGTGCACGCACATGAGCAAACCAGCAGTAGTGCCTGCAGGAACCCATCTCTGGTTCCAAGTATGGTCTTATCAGCAGATCATAAAGTGGTAGTAATATTCCTTGTGATCTTGATTCTATCCCTCTGTTAATTGCAGCCTAGGATTGCATTGGCTTTTTTGGTGGCTACTGACATATTTAAATGACTGTCCACTAGGACTCCAAGATCCTTCTCACAATTACTGCTATTGAGCCAGGTTTCATCTAATCTGTACGTGTACATTTGGTTTCCCTTGCCTAAGTGTAAAATCTTATTTTTCTCCACATTGAATTTCATTTTGTTACATACAGCCTAGTCAGGTCTGTCAAGATCCTTCTAGATCTTGATTCTTTCTTTTGGGGTGTTGGCTATTCCGGCCACTTTGGTGCATCTGAATAGTTGATCAGTTCCCTTTCTATTCCTTCATCTAAATGATAAAATGGAAAGCAAGTAGCCATGTGACATCTAGAAAAAGATAGTTAATGCATGTGAATGAAAAGTGTGAATGGAAGGTAGGCTGGAAAAAGAGGTGGTTTACTCTGTCGTGTGCTTCCTGGAGAACTGAATGGAAAGAAACACATAAATAAATACCTCTTGCCTATTAGGATAGGTCATAGAGCTTCTGAACAGCACCTCTGTTAATTGCAACTATAAAATCCTAGAGCAGTTTCACAGTCACTATGGCCCCATTTTACCTTCAATAACACAAATGTACAGTTGACCCCTCAATTTGGCAGAGCCTCAGGAAGCTGACTCTGTGTGCCACATAAGAGGGAAAAAAAGTCAACTATTTCATTTATTATTGAAGAAGGAAATACACTGGTAGAGGTTTTTCAGGCTTAAGTGCCAAAATTAAATGAGCTGGCTTTAGGTACAATAATACTAGAATGGCAACACGGGGGGAGAGAAAATGAATTGCCCTGAAAAAAGACTAAAGAAAGATTTGCTTAACGCTTCCATATGGTAATCTATATGTTTAAATATTTACCAGAATGGAACTAAAAAATACAATGCATCCTATGCAAGTGGGAAAGAGCATAATCAGGTGATCAGACTGTACTCCAAATGCTGAGTGCTGAAGGGGTGATTCAAATACACCTTCTCTCTTTTGTGTCCTTTTTTAAGGTTCTTTTACTTGAATCGGCAGTTCTTAAAAGCTCTGATTTAATATAACTTTAACTAGAGGACCATTTCCGTAAAAGATGTCTGTCTTCTCATCCTGAGGCTATCTGGCTGGCTAGGTTTTCAGAGCCCTGTTCATTAGCTCATTATCTATCTATCTATCTATCTATCTATCTATCTATCTATCTATCTATTTATGGGGTTTGTATGCCACCCACTCTTGAGAGACTCAGGGCGGCTTACAGATAAAAAGGAAGGGGGAACATACAAAAATAAAAAATAACATTAAAATTCCACAACATTCATAGCTTAGCAACCTTTTGTTGCGCATGTGCGAGGCGAATGGCCGCTATCTTCTTCTCTCCGGTCTGGGTGAGCGGAAAACACTCAAAAAATACTAACGACCCGGCTCGAGACTATGCAGGAGGGAGCCCCAGCGGGAGAGCAACATTTGGGGCACCTGAACCATCGTTTATTTGGAGAGTTGTCGCAACTGAGCAG